TATATATATATATATATATATATATATATATATATATATGTGTGTGTATATATATAATAGTTCTATGCATTTCATATTAAATTTACTGTATAGTACACATCATTGTGTACTTTTTCATTTGATTTCTTGGTCTTCTTTAAGCCTAAGGGTACAACTGCATATTTATAGTTTTATGTACAAAGCTACAGTGGGTAAACGTCCATTTTTGTGTACTTTTTAAAAACATTTAAAGATCAGTTGCTGTTCCCCTGTTGGCTCCTTTTTAAAGTTGTTCTGAATTTGGTAGAGCGTTCTTCTCTTTTGCACTTAGGTATCTAAACTAAAGCTTAATCCTTTTTGTCTCTTAGGATGAGTTTAAATCTCTGATAAAGTCTTCTGTAACTGTATAATATATCATATTCTGTAAAAGTCTTCTGTAACTGCATAATATATCATATTCTGTAGAATCAGTTAGAGGTGTTGTGCTCTGTAAAGCTGATTCAGAGTCTGTTCTTGGTTTGATAAACAAATCCACAACATATGGGGTAGAGCTGTCAAAGAACAGAAGCAGAAAATCTGAGAACATATAATCTGGCTCAGCAATATCACTTTGTAAAGTTGTGCATTTGTAACGTTCTGCCATCTAGTGGTTAAAGATACCTGCAGAAACTTTGATAAATGTCTTGCATCAAAGATTTAAAATAATCAAATACAAAAAAAATAGTTTTATATTTGTGAGATAAACACTGTGTTGACACGTTTTTAACATCAACTCTTTCCCTCTGCTCAGTCCACAGATAGAAGGTGATGTAAAGGAGGAGATTCTCCAGCCTCCTGAAGCTCACCCCGTCCCCCCCATTCTCACCCCGTCTCCCCCATCGGCGTTCCCCACAGTCACCAACGTACGGCAGGACAACGACCGCTACCATCCCAAACCTGTCATACACGTCCTCGCTACGACGCAGCGCAACGCCGCACAGGTGAGCTGGATTAAAAATAAATAACAAAGTATTAAAATACAGAATGTTGAAGTGTTTTATTATCAATGACTGAAAGAGTCGAACCCTTTTTGTATGTAACTTGCCAACATTGAGTTTTTGAATGTAAAAACTGAGACGGTATGTATCAAGAAAGTGTTTCCAGTACTCAAGTTGTTCAATTTTATTTAATCGTCATTTATATTACGCGTACATTCTTTTTGGGAGGCTGAAAAAAAGAAAGAAAAAGTATTTGTCTTTTTTCTAAGAGGTGTTACAATAAAAAAAGTAAAAATGAATAAATAAATAATATCCCTCAAGCCCTCAGTGCCGTCCCTTCACATCCTCACAACACAATTCAATAAACATCTTTTTTAATGAAGCTCATTAAAAATAAAAAATAAATGAGGAACTATTATTTTGAGTCGATATCATAAATCTCATTTAACAACCAAAAACAGGAAGCACAAATAAAACAACTGAAATTAATAGAAGTCCTCAGTGGAAATCTTACTATTCATCTCTAAAGAACTCAAACACTCGTACTCTTATAGGTTGGTTAACAGTTAAACTTAGTTTTCCTGTATGATCGATCACTTTTTTCACATTTATCTCATTTTGGAGGAAATTAATAGATCTTTTTCAAATGTCCCTAAAATCCAATTTAAGTTATTTACTGTATTTTCTGCCGTAAACATCGCACGTCGCATCAGTCCAAATATGTCTAAAAAAGTGGAAAACTCCATAAATATGTCGCTTCGCCGTATACGTTGCATCTATTGAGTCACCGCTGATGACCTGGAAATGTGGGCCGGTGTTGTGCCAAAAATTGATGGGCTGCCAAATGGCGGCCATGGAAGCATGCACGGGGGAGGACCTTAACAAGAATTTAACTAGATTAACACTTAAAAACAATTATTTGTTTGCTTGAAATGATAGTAAAAATGTGTCTCAGTCTAACTTTTCCTTAATAAATGCACTTTGTTTGTGAAATCAGCTGCATTTCAAAAGCCGATTTGTGGAAATGGGTGCGTCCCTCTGCACATTTCTTCAAAATTTTACAAAATTAACACCTAAAAACAATTATTTGTTAGCTCGACTTTATAGTAAAGATGTGTCTCAGTTGAACTTTTACTTAATAAATGCACTTTGACTGTCAAATCAGCTGCATTTCGCCGGGGCAGTGCAGCGAAATGAAGCTGATTCTGTTGCTCCAGGCAAACGACGGTGGCAGACTTGGCAAGCCGATTGTATCATTAATAGCCACTTTTACCTATTACATGATACAATGGCATGCCTTACTACTTGACTGCCATTTAGTGGCGGAAAATGTTAGTGTTAAATTTTTTTTCAGTCAGAATGAATGAAAACGCTCATATCTCAGCCAAAAATAGTTTTTTAAATCTGGGAAAAATCCATAAATACGTCACTTTGACCTATAAGTCGCAAAGCATGCAAATTATGCAAAAAAAAACAACAAAACAAAACACCACTTATAGGCCAAAAAATACGGTAGTTGTGGAAAACTACCAGATCTACCTGATTTGAGTTGGCTGCCACTTCCAACCGACTTTAAAAAGCACAAAAATGGCTATAACTCAACCAGGTTTACAGATATCGACCTAAGGAGGTGGTAGTAGATGAGACTGATTCCCATAACACATTTTGAGTGCTAACAGCTTAAAAAGTTATTAATTTAAAGTTATTATTTAAACAAGGTTTATTAGGGTTTCTTCGTTTCTGCCATATTATAGTTATGCTATATAAATATTCTGTTCAGTTTATTATTAACAGATAAGTACTTTTAAAACAGGGAGCTAGAGATAGGAAGTATTAAATATTTTTACCTTTAAAACAAAAAATATCTAGAATAATTTTAAGGAGTTGAACAGGTTCTTATAATAAATGTTGTTTGGAGGTGATATAATGATTTCCTTCTAATAGGCAGTTTTTCTTAAGTAAAATATAATAAATAATACTTTTAAATACATTTGCTTATTATTTATGTTGTACTTGTGTGGGGGGAAAAAAATGAAATGCTTTATTTTCTGACCATTCTATTTCAGAAGGCGGTTGTGGATCAGGAGCAGAACCAGTCGGAACCCGCTATGATCCAAAAGACTACCCTCCCAGAGCAGAAAAATCTGGACGTGCTGAGCCAAAACCAGCAGACTCAGGTCTCCAATCTGGATCTCAATGAGAACTACAGCAACAAGTTGTCCTCGACGTCGACTCTGTCAGATTCAGGCCAAAGCCAGACACCGTCCTCACCCATTTCCCCGGCCGTCGAATGTTCCGCCGCTCCTCGGATTGAGAGGAAGCTCAGCATTGAGATCAAGAAGGTGCCGTTGCAGGAAGGGCCGCGCAGCTTCGACAGCTCCTCGTCTGCGGGGGTAGCAGGTGCACTGAACGCCACTTCAAGCAACAGCAGTTCCACGCTCCAAAGAGGCCACGCCTTCAAGTCTCGCTCTGGTCAGACTGCGCTGACGTCTAGCTCCTCGCTGTCGGAAGACTCGGGCACGGAGGGAGGTGCGGGCGGGTGTGGGGAGAGCCATGCAGATGGAGGCCTCCTAACCAGACCAAACCACCTTCCTGTGAAGAAGGAAGAGAAGAAGATGCAGGAAGAGGAAATGGCGGGCATCAAATCTGGCCACGCGTTGTGGATGGAGCCCTGCAACAGCCCGGAAAAACTCTTCCCCAAGACTTCCTCCTCCTCTTCTTCCTCAGACAGAGTTGCCCCATCCTCCTCATCCTCCTCACACCTCTCTTCCTCCTCCTCCTCCTCCTCTTCCTCCACTCCTGTTAGGACTGCTCTCAGTTTCACCAATCCCTTACACTCCGATAATTCAGACGAGGAGGGGAATGAAGAGATGCCTGAAGGAAAGGAGGGTTATCATACAAACATATCTATGGTGACGACGTCCACAGTAACAGCATCGTCTCATCCTGAAAGCCAGCAGGTGGTCAGAAAGGCGGTGCCCATGTCAATTGCAGGACAGACCACTCCACTGCCCTCTACAGCCACAGCAAGTAAGCTGAACATCTTAACAATCAAGTTTAACTTGTTTCTTAGTAGTGGTTTTACTGAGCATGTCTGACAACTTGATGTTAATTTCCACTCATGGTAGGGTCATCTTCTGTGTCAGTAAGGCGTCTGATAAAACACAAGTTATATTCAACATATCTGAGTTAGAGCAGTGAGGAAACGGACAAAAGATCAAAGTGCTTCGTATAAAGTCAGATATTTTGACTAATTGGTTTGGCTGCAAAACTTCAGCTTGTGTGTGTGAGTCTAACTTTGTGAATGAAAGGAGTGCTGTTTTGTTTTCTGTGTGGTTCTGTGTGCACGTTGGATGGGAAGGAGCAACACTGCATGATAACTCAGAGATGCACTGACAGCATCTTTGTTGCACTTTGGGTTTGACTGAACAATTTGCTGTTTGTGCCTGGCTGTGATAAATGCAACAAGATTGGTATTTTCATTCTCTCTGGGCGTTTGAAAGCTGAGGTTTCTCCTGTTTTTTTTGTTGTTTTTTTAAGAAAAATAATTTTGTCTTAATAATCACCAGATTCTGAAATACAATTTTTACTTTGGTCATAGTCGATGTAAAATTAAGCAATTTGAGCGCTGCTTTGAGGTATTTCAAGACTAAACACATTCTTAACAAACCTAATTTTTATTCACTGGTTACAGGATCCATCTTTGAGATAATGTAATTTGAGATTAATCATTTTGCAAAGTATTACCGTTTATGAATTAATCAAGCAAACCTTGACTTCACTTAGCAGTTTGTGTTTTCTAAACTTTACATTTTTATTATGCACATATCACAGACAAAGAGTCAGTGTAACAAGTGTTAAAACTACGGTAATAATTAGCATTTTTTTTAAAAACGTGATAAACTGAACACACTTTCTTGATTCAAACAAAAGCTTTGTTTAAAGCTGAAACACGAGCTATGTAGGGAAACATAATCTGCAAATGTCCATCTTATTAACTTTAGTGTATGTGATGATTTTCATGTTGTAAAACTAAATGTTTGTATCAGAGTCATGAGTTTGTCTGTTTGGGTTTGGCATTTTCACCTGGGGTTATTCCAGAAAGTGGGACTGTGCAGTTAGATGACTGAGTTTAGGAGGAACTTTGTGTTTTCCATGGCGGAAAGCGAGAAAGCTGAAACTCACCCTGTCACCGTGGTAACGGGCTCTGTGAATTTAACCTGCTCTGTCACCATGGTAACATGCTCTATGAAGTTAACCTGCTCTGTCACCATGGTAACAGGCTCTGTGAAGTTAACCTGCTCTGTCACTATGGTAACAGGCTCTGTGAAGTTAACCTGCTCTGTCACCATGGTAACAGGCTCTATGAAGTTAACCTGCTCTGTCACCATGGTAACAGGCTCTGTGAAGTTAACCTACTCTGTCACCATGGTAACAGGCTCTGTGAAGTTAACCTGCTCTGTCACTGTGGTAACAGGCTCTGTGAAGTTAACCTGCTCTGTCATCGTGGTAACAGGCTCTGTGAAGTTAACCTGCTCTGTCACCGTGGTAACAGACTCTGTGAAGTTAACCTGCTCTGTCACCATGATAACAGGCTCTGTGAAGTTAACCTGCTCTGTCACCATGGTAACAGGC